GCTTTTGATACCATTGACCATGGTATCCTTCTGGATAGGCTAAGGGGACTGGGAGTAGGAGGCACTGCTTGGCAGTGGTTCCACTCCTACCTCGACGGCCGATTCCAGAAGGTGGTGCTGGGGGACTTTACCTCTGTGCCATGGCAGTTATGCCATGGAGTTCTGCAGGGATCTATTCTGTCCCCCTTGCTCTTCAACATCTACATGAAACCACTGGGAGAGGTCATAAGGAGGTGTGGGCTGTGGAATCATCAGTACACTGATGATACCCAGCTCTACCTCTCTTTTTCAACCAATCCAGGTGAGGCAGTGGCTGTATTGAACTGGTGCCTGGCCGAGGTAATGGGCTGGATGAGGGCCAATAAACTGAAGCTCAATCCAGACAAGACGGAGGTCCTGCTGATAGGTGGTTCGAGCTCCTGGGTGACTTGGATCTTGTCCTGAATGGGGTTGCACTCCCTCTAAAGGACAGGGTCTGCAGCTTGGGAGTGCTCCTTGACCCGGAGCTGACTTTGGAAGCTCAAGTGTCGGCGGTGGCGAGGAGCGCTTTCCATCAGCTTCGGCTGATCCATCAGCTGCGTCCCTACCTGGAGGATGACTGCCTAACGACAGTGATGCATGCATTGGTTACTTCCCGGTTGGATTTCTGTAACGCACTCTATGTGGGGCTGCCCTTGAAGACAGTCCGGATACTTCAGATGGTGCAAAATAGAGCAGCCAGGTTGCTGACAAGGACTGGGTGTTATTCTCATATAACCCCAGTCCTCTACCAGCTTCACTGGTTTCCCATCAAAGTCCAAGCTCAATTCAAGGTGTTGGTAATTACTTATAAAGCCCTTAGCGGTTTGGGACCCGGATACTTGAAGGAATGCCTGTGGCCATATTTGCCCTACCGCCCCTTGAGATCGGCAGCAGGGGCTCTCCTCCGGGAGCCTTCCATAAGAGATACCAGGAAGCAAAGTACCCGGAGGAGGGCCTTCTCTGCAGTGGCGCCCCATCTGTGGAATGCGCTCCCCAGAGAGTTCTGCCTGGCACCATCATTATTTGTTTTTTGGCGCCAGGCCAAGACCTTTTTATTTAAACAGTATTTTAATAATCTTTAATATTTATAGGTTTAATGATGCAGCCAGTATGTTTCTAAGTTTTAATTGTAATTTTATTTGTTTTATTTATTTATGTTGTGTTGTGAGCTGTCCTGAGGCTGTGTAGCAATTGGGACGGCATATAAAAACTTTAAATAAATAAATAAATTTCTGTATACAACCTCTGTCAATACAGCTGAAGGCTGTGAATGTGATATGAAAACTAGAAGTGATGGCTAAACAACCCAGCAATTGGTCCAACAATCAACTATGATTTAATCACTGGATTTAGATCCTAAAGGACTCAGCAGTTTGTGTTCACACAAACTGCACATCCCTCTGACAGTAGTTCACAGAAAACAGGGACAGCTTTTGTACAACATGTATCCCTGCTTAAATAAACCCATGATTTGTCGCCACAATGTGTGAATCAAGTTAGTGGTAAACAAATACATTTTGTATGTTAATATACTGACAACTTAATATTATTAAATTCTATACAGATGCATTAAATACTTGACTCCAGTGCATTCCAATACCTGCAGAAGATCAGCAGTGCTCCACCTGGCATCTACGTTCTTTTCCAAACACTTCTTTAAGAAGTCTTTAAAGTCAGCAGACCTGCATAAAACAAATAAAAATCAACAACTGCTATAGACAAAAGTTGGATAAGGTCTGTTCTAGGCTACTGATTTATCAACGATGAATATATTGTTAATTCTTTTTCATCAATGTGCTTTTGTATTTAATGAAAAGCTGACTTATGATGCATCAAACTAGGATGCCTACTACTTGTCTCTGAAGAAAAATAGCTTTCAATTTTGATTAGCTTTCACAATAGCACATACTGTTTTTTGCAAACAATCTAAGATTGATAAAATAAAAGAATAACCATTTTGAAGGCTGTGCCAATGAAGGTGGCTCAGACTTTGCTATTTTCAGCAGAACACGCATTGGATTTAGTTCATGATGAGGTGGTTCTATTTCAGCCATTTCTATCAAAGTGATGCCTAGAGACCAAACATCAGCTTTGTAATCATATGGTCTGTCTTTGGATGTTTCACACATTACCACTTCAGGCGCCATCCTGGGTGGAAAGAGAAAAAAAAAAGAATAGCTAAGAACTGTTATCTGCAATAAACAGTGTTTTCAACAGCTAGAAGATAACATAGAATGTTAATAAAACCTGCAATATATTCTAATTGAAAACATTGTCATTTTGCTTACCTTACATCTAGTATTAAAATATACATTATTATATAGTTTTCGGCTCATGCAACTTTCCCTACTTCAACTCTACCCCAGGTCCTCCAACCCCTGAAAATGAACCTGATAAGTTTGGGAACCCCCAAAGTTAGGCCAGGGTGCCTTTCATGAGTGAACAATAAAAGATCCAGAATCCAATCCAAGCAGCACACATTTAGAGTTCTTCTTGAAAACACTACAGATTGTCATACTTACCAATATGGAGTACCGATGAAAGAATCTCGTCTTTGTATTGTCCTTGTATTTTTAGCAGACACTCCAAAATCCGCTTCAGACAAACAAATAAAATACCAATTTAAAGTCACACTCATACCAACACACTTTTCTATTTCAAAGCAGTATTTCTTCCCCACACCCAGAACAGAAAAAAAACCCCATCATTGCCCTTTTACTTCCTAAATCTGCTTCAGTTTTCCCATTCATCCCCAACTAAGAACCTAGGGCAGAATACATTTTACCGTATTGTTGAAACTGCTTTTTGAATTTAAAAAACACCCTAACTGGGCATAACCTCATATGCCTTCACCCCAAGATTATCCCAGCAGGCAGTACCTCACGTTGCCAAAAAAATTGTTTTAGATTTGCTTTAAAATGGAATCTTGAAGAGGTTACAATGTCAAGGAGTCAAAATTAATTCGTTCTCAAAGCACTAAAATGGCATAAAGGCAGGCTTCAAAATGGCTTCTGCAGAGCCTAAAAAAATTAGACCCATCTAGGAATTGGTGGGGGCAGCAGGGGCTTTCATGTGGCTTGCACTTTGCCCACCCCTACTTTAAAGGTGCACACTTATGCACTCCAACTTTTTTTTTTTGGTTGTAGTGTTCATACTAGCAAATAGAACAAGCATCTTTTAAGCTGGTGAACACATACATGGCAAGGAACAAGTGAGGCACAGGGAGGATGCCATTCGGTTGGACTTTAACAGTGAAGTTCTTGTATGTTCCTGAGTTCATCCAGACTCAGTACAACCTCCCAGACTTGAGGGAAAGGTTGGGGGCTTGGTCTTGCAACTGGAGAAACTTCTTAATGGTAGAACACTGTAATGAAGCCATAATTTTTCCACCCTCTGCAGATCCAGTCATGTGTTACTTCATAATTACACTTCTAGACATTACCAGCCAACTCAGAATTATGGTAACTAGGCATTATAAAAATCATGCCTCCCCTGCCTGCAGGCTACTGATTGGTCCAACTGGAAGCTGTCCAGGCCCCAGAGAAATACTATGATGATACAATCATTTCTTCAGGTGACTGGCAAAGAGTCAAGGAAGAACTTATCAATACTTTGGAGTCCCAGGTGTAAATGGCTTTGGTGAATTACTCTAAGAATCCTGATTAGTCACGTTTGGCATGGTATCTGAATTTATTTTTTTAAGCAACTGAATTTTTGAATTTTTCTTTGCTTGGTTCTTTAATAAATATGCTGAATCAACTGGTGTTGATTGTAATGGCTAACCTAGAGTTGGCCTTACTTGTCTTCTGGACTGCTGGACAAAAACCTAGTAGTTTAAAGTACTAGCTCTAGAAAGAGCTCATCCTTTTAAAAATGTATCTGTATATTAAAATAAGCCTGGATTCAAGCATATCCAGGATATACATTTTTAAATAGCATTCAATATGAGTTTTGGTATGTAATGGCAGCAGAAAAGGTGTCTAAGGTGTTTTTCAGCCAGCCCTACCCTGTCACATTGATAATGTAGATACAACAGCTTGTCACAAGGACCAAACGGTAATACCTACTACTGGAAGAAAAGGTAATTCCAGTGTTTATTGGACTGGTTGAATAAAATATGAAATGCAGCTGTAACTACAAAATTTTGCTGAGGATTAAGATAGCAGAGAAATGGATAATATTTATCAAAATATAGTCTTGTTTATAGCATGAGAAATAATTGCTTTGCGATCATCACTTGATCTGATTACGTATTTTAATACTTTGAAATAAAATACTGAGGAGGTAGAAATCAAACATCCCTCAAATGCCAGCAAAAAAAGATCGATATGATTACAGCTGCCAAGTTTTTTTTCATTAATGGCATTATTGCTTAGCAACACTTAATATAAAACACTGCAGTTTTCAAAATTCTTTGAAGTAGCACAACAGAAATCATGGGAGCTATTTCAAAATGTTGAAAAAGTATTGTTAGGAAAAATGACTATAAAAGACTACAAATAACAGATCAAGTATTGTTTAATATTTTGCCAAAGGCAGTGGGTGAAAAGAGAGAGTGTGAAGACCTTTTTATTTAAACATCATTTTAATTGTTAAAACATATGATCTGGCCAGGGCAACTTCTTCTTCCTTCTCTTTTCTCTTCCTATATTATTTATTTACTTATTTTATACTGATAATTTTAATTTTATATTATTATGTTTGTAACTCAGTGTATTTTTTGTATTTTTGTATTTAATGGTAATTTATTATGTTCTATTGTATTTCAATGTATTTTATTGTGTTGTAAGCCGCCCCTTGCCGAAGCCTCGGGGC